CAGAAAATCCATATCAAGATGGTAAATTCCTAATCGTTTTTTCAAAATCTTTGCTTCCTCGTAGGGGAATGCAATAAGCATGAAAGGATGCTGTTTATAATTATTTTTCCCAAGAGAATCCTATAATCCCCACAATTTGCCCATGTGCTAGCTTGTTCACCATGTTCTTTGACTGTGGTGAAACTAATGATTACTCTTTAGTTATAGCATATGATAGCATATCAGAAAGCTTTTTTTCTCTGGTTTGTTAATCTCATGTCTTGCGTTAATGATTTTACAGGTTTTCCTCCAAGGAACCAATCTGACATGGCAAGCATGCCTCCACTTAAGGACCAAATCGCGGATGAAGTGGTACTTTTTTTCAATATATTTCTGAGGGATAACCACTAGCAGCCTGGTATTTTGTAGAACTCAACCATAATATTGATGTATACTCTTTTAAATGGTGTCTGCAGATTGGGTCGAAATTGAGCGGATCTATTTCAAACAGAAAATCAAATGGAACACCAATGAAGATGCTCATAGCACAAGAAATGTCCAGAGCAATAGACTCTAAACATAATCCACCAAGTGTTGTAGCCAAGTTAATGGGGCTTGACCCCCTTCCACCTCAGCAAGCTGATTCTTCTGAACAAAGAAATTATGCTGGAGGAAGTGCACGAGTTCAAGCAGACTCACAGTTGAGTTATTGCAGCAAGAGAAGTGGATCGTTAAATACAGAATTGCAGCATGAGTTTCAACAATATTCAGAGCAAAATCAATGCAAAGATGTGTATGAAGTTCGGCAGCATCCACAGAAGAACTCCCTAAGGAACAAATCATCACAAAAGAGAAGGTACGATGAGAAAGACAAAAGGATGGATTTTGTACGTCAGAAGTTCATTGAAGCAAAATACCTATCTATAGATGAAAAATGTCGCCAGTCTAATCAATTCCAAGATGCATTGGAAGTTCTCAGTTCCAATACTGATTTGTTCCTCAAGTTTCTACAAGAACCAAATCCTATGTTTTCTCAGCAGATATCCAATCTACAGTCTATTCTTCCTCCCACTGAAATAAAGCGAATAACTGTACTTAGACCTTCCAAGATGGTAGATAACTGCAAATTTGCTGGAAAGGAGAAGGATGCAGAAGAGGAAAACAGGACCAGCCTGGTAGGCCAAGTGAACAAAATGGACGAAAACCACCTGGATCATTCACCCTCTGCAGCTAGTTGTAATATTGATGAAAATTCCACTCAACCTACTCGAATAGTAGTACTAAAACCTAGCCCTAGTAGGTCTCACAACCTCAAGGCTGTGAGTTCCCCACCCTGCATATCACCAGGAGGGTTGCATCATAAAAGTTCATTGGAGAATCCAGAAGATAATAATGCTCAAGAATCAAGAGAAGTGACAACAGCAATCACACAGCAGAAGCATGAAAACTTAGTTGGGCATCAAAGGGATGACATATTGCTTTCTTCTGTGTTCTCAAATGGCTATATTGGTGACGAGAGTTCATTCAACAAGTCAGAAAATGAGTATGCCATGGGGAACCTCAGTGATTCCGAAGTCTTGTCACCAGCTTCTAGGCACTCATGGGATTTCATTAATAAGTTCAACAGCCCTTTTTCCTGCTCCTCCTTGAGCCGTGCATCTTATTCTCCAGAATCTTCAGTTTCTAGAGAAGCAAAAAAACGACTTTCAGAAAGATGGGCCATGGTGGCATCTATTGGAATTTGCCAAGAACAGAGACCTCTCAGGCAAAGCTCTAGTACTTTGGGTGAGATGCTTTCACTTTCTGATGCAAAGAAGTCTGGAGAACTTGATGAGGATAGAGATAAAGAACCCAAGGACTTAAATTCCAATCCAGCTGTGGATACAAATAAGAAGGAAAGTCTTGACAGTTTTTCAAGGAATCTCTTAAGGTCAAAATCTGTCCCTGTACCTTCTACCAGATTTGATTCCCAGGTGCAAGTAGGAAGTCCAGAAGCAAGGATGGTAAACACAGACCTTCTCAAAGAGACAATAAAAGAAAGAAGCACAAAATCATCATTCAAAGGGAAAGTTTCAAGTTTGTTCTCGAGGAACAAGAAACCTAGCAAGCAAATGTTTGGCACCTTGGAATGTGGTGATGAATCTTATTTGGGTGAAAAATATTTAGATCCTCCTAGAAAAGTAGATGATGATATGTGCCTATGCCTAAACAGCAATGGGCTTGAGTGCTCATCTCCTGATCTGCATGGCTCATCAGGCACAACAATTTCTTCAAGCTTGCCTGAAATGCATGGCTTTATTTCTTCAGAGGTAATACAGGAACATTTAAGCTAGCATATATTCTCATGCATTTGTTTTAATATCTTTTGCAAATTCAGCTGTGATTTTCTCAAGAACACAAATAAGTTAACTACACCACATATTCAGTTCAAATTCTATCGTATTCTTATAACTTTATGGTTTTATCTTCTTATTCGTTTGGCATGCACATTGGGTGGATAGTACTTTGTGCACTTTATGTCCATGTTAGGAGAAGGTTGAAATGGATTCCATGTTGGATAAATTTTACAGGTTGGACCTGGACCATCTGTAACAAAATATAGGCATTCTGGAAGTCCAAGTGAGAATCAAGATCAACCAAGTCCTATTTCAGTTTTGGGCACATCATTTGAGGAGGATGAATGTGTTACACAAATATCCCTTGACAATATCAAACCATATTGCCATGGTAAGTTGTGTCATCACTCATCAGTCATGCCAAAATTTCTTTTCCTTCAACATATTGTCTGATTGTTTTCCATAATCAAACAGGGGAGTTGCCTGTTCACTCAATTAGGTCAAATCTAATCGATAAATCTCCACCAATAGGATCAATGTCCCGCACTCTATCATGGGATTATTCTTGTGAAGATATTGCCTCCTCTTTTTCACTAATACCATCCTCAATGCAAAGGACCAAAGAAGAAGAAAAAGAGTGGTTCTTCATTGTTCAGACAATATTATCAGAGGCTGGCCTTGATGAGGTACAATGTGATTCATTTTTGTCAAGATGGCATTCACCAGAGAGCCCACTGGATCCATCATTGAGAGACAAGTACATTGATTCACATGAGGAGGAGACACTACATGAGGCTAAGCGAAGGAAAAGGAGATCAACCAGAAAGCTAATCTACGATTGTGTCAATGCAGTGTTGATGGACATTGCGGGACACAGGCATGACACTTGCCAAAAAATTGTTCCTAGTGTGGTACACAGTACCCTCCTAGAGGAGGGCGAGTCATTAATATTAGTGGACCATGTGTGGGAGCAAATGAGGGAATGGTTTTCGTGCAACATGACATGTCTCTCTGGTTATAGTGGGGACGGAAACAGCCTTGTGGTGGAAAGGATGGTAGAGAAGGAACTGGTAGGGAAGGGGTGGATAGAATATTGGAAATTAGAATGGGAAAGTATTGGAAAAGATATTGAAGGGAAACTTTTGGAAGAGATTGTGCATGAAGCAGTGGTTGAAATGACAAGGAGAATGTGATGCAGATTTTCTTCTTTAATATATGTATTAGTATTTCCTTCCTTTTAAAATCACAACAGTATTATAATTGTATATCAAATATTTCATAATAATGATGCTTCTGCTAACATGTAATTCTTAGGTTGTAACTGTATGCAATTCTTATAACAGTACCCTTTTTTTCTGCCTGGTCCTTGGATTTGTTTCTATAAATATTAACATAAGCTGAAGCTGTATATTAATTATAGGAAAATGGACTGGACTTGTTAGTTGCAGCTTGAGAAGTAACTAGTAGAATGAACAGAATTTCTTAGTTTTGGGGTGCTTGGTGGGAGGAAAACAGAACAAAAGAGTTTTGGATGCAGGAATTGAATCATGTGTTCTATCTCAATTAAAAGTCTAAACTGGTAGTTGCCATGGACGTTACTCGGGTTGTAAGCAACACGTGGACCATAATTTCTTTTGCATTGGGTTGGCTCCTTATATTGTACATTTATATTTATATACTAGTATTTTTTATGCGCCGATGCGCAAAAAATAGGTGCCCAATATTAATACATCATATTAAAATTTTAAATTAATTTAAATTTTAGATATTTAAATTATTCTAAATAATAATAATAATAATAATAATGTAAATCATTTTTATAAATTTGATATTTATATTTATGTAATAATTAACATATAACTCAAATATTTAATTTAATGTGTATATATTATTATTAATGAAGAAGATAAGAAAATATATGGTGGATGCATGTGCATGGTAACAATAGTGAAAAAGATAACGGAAGTTATAACGGTAGGGGTATGTTTGTCCAAAATATTTTAATGTACAACCTTTATAGCATAATGTACAAAAAAAATTTAACGGAAAAAACGGACATAAATCAGGGGTATAACTTTCATTCACACTTATTATGTTTTTATATTATATTATATGTTGGGAAAAGGGTCAAATTAGCCTTTAAATTTTACTTAAAAAATCAATTAGCCCTTAAACTTTTAAAAAGTGTAATTACGCCCTTTAACAAAGTATATTGAGGCAATAAAGTCCAAAAATCGAAAAATAACCTGCTATTATAGGTAGGTTCCGGCATCAATTTTATCTATATTCGGCAACAATCCGACAGTCAGCGACGGTCGGATCGTCGTTGGTCGCTGTCTACCAGAGAAGACAGTTCTGGAATCAATTTTATCTATCTTCGGCGACAATCCGACAGTCAGCAACGGTCGGATCGTCGTTGGTCGCCGTCTACCAGAGAAGACGGCTAGTTGGTCGTTTGTTGACGGCGTCGAGACCCTAATGACCTGTAATAGCAAGTCATTTACTGGTTTTGTACTTTATTGTCTCAATATAACATGTTAAATGGTGTAATTACACTTTTTAAAAGTTTATGCGCTAATTGAATTTTCAAATAAAGTTTATGAGTTTATTTGACCATTTTCCCTTCTATGTTTAATAGTGGGAACAACTACATGAAGATGACAATGCACATGGTTACAAACATAATTTTTAAGAACTTCAAGTTCCTTATGCCAAAAAGATTGAATTTCACACAAACGGTCTAATTCAGCTGACCAAAACACATCACATCTCATCAATACTTACACTGGTGTTGTCTATACATCTGCTGTACTTGTATGAGTATTTCATCACTCCCTTCTACTGAAACATTTACACAAAAACTGGGAATACACAATACAAACTGAAAGCCATCCAACAAATTATAGAGAACAAAGTGTACTGCTCGGTTTTAGTCAGTGCCATTTACGCGCTTCTGTGAATCAGTAATCCTTATTGGCTTGAGCTTGCAACTGACATGTCTTTGTTCTGTCCATTATAACTACACCCGCTGTTGTTCAATCCATACTGCAAAGCAATAGATGAGTAAATGAAAATACAAGGCTTCAGCTGCTTGATAGATAGGAAGACACAAGTGAAGAAACTGAAACTACTTCCCCCTCTCATACTAGGCAGGTTTTTGAATTAGTCATTGCTAGACTAAGACATATCACTCACACAACCCACTTGAACTTCAAAACTCTCACAAATGAAGAACCCAACCAGACACAAACAAAAAGAATCTTCCAGCCCATCCCTTATTCTCCCCAACTGTTATACCATGGACCCAGGTCCATCTTGCAATGTGGACCCTGGTCAAAAAATTATGTTTCTGCCGTTGACATATTCTGTACCTGCAGTTAACCGTTTATGTGCCTGTAAATAAACTAAAGTCGCATAACATGTTAATTACGGATACATAAACTATTAATTGCAAGTACATAATATGTTAACAATATATTGTGTCAACAGTTAACATATTTTGTACTTGCAGTTAACAGTTTAAGTGGTTATGTGTCTGTAGTTAACATGTTGTGTCTTTAATTTATTTACACGCACATAAACTATTAACTGCAAGTGCAGAATGTCAACTGCAGACACATAATCTGAAGGTTATTTTGGGTCTTCTACAATGCAAGGTAGCACCTGATCCATGGTATAATTTGCCCTATTCTCCCTGCTCCCCAACAACAACAACAATAATAATAGTAATGGCCCATGGCAACAATTAAATTGCACATTTTGAAGTTTGTATCACAACATCCACTTTACCCCGAGTGACATACTTCTTCTCCCAAAGGTTGAATCCCCAACCATAAGTGCCCCTCATGCCCCAGCCCGCCAGAGCATGAGGTAAATCATGGTAACTTAGGGGTTCAGCAGACGAGGCCAAATGCCGGGCCCCGAGTGATATACTAATATCAGAAAGAAATGTCAAAGAGTTAATTAAGATTTAGTGTAGTGGTTAAGCAGACACCTTTTCTCTCAACCGCAAACTCCAGATACCAGAATGCCCTGACCTACTGCCACCTTGTGTCAACCCAGATGTTCGGTTTAGACAAGGAGCAAGAGATGATCCTTCCCTGACATCAAAACCTCCCTCAATATCATTGTCCACTCTTTGGTTAGCCAATGCTCTGAGTATTATAGCAAGAAGCAAGGATAAAGCCTAGAGAATACAATATTCAAAAAGAGAATATATATCAAACCATGGAGATTGATCAAAACAAACAGACCATAAATAAGAAATTAAGAAAGAAATTGATACACCATAACATACCTGAATTATAATCACCACAATGCCAACCCACTTGCAAACATCAATGTTGTCTTTAATAAAGTTGCATAAGCTAGCAACTTCTCCTGTTGGGTCTATTGGAAGATCCTAAAACTTGGTTTAATTAGTAAAGAAACAAGGATAAAAAGGCATTTCTCCCAGCAGTGAAGATTATGTATAAAGGTACCTTTTCCCAATGGTGATCCAGTAAAATGAATGCCACCAAACTTACTTCCAAGAGAAGTAACACAGTAATTAAAAGAGAATACTGCAATTTTTATTTGGTCAAGGATAACAGTAACAAAAGAAGGGCTCGGAATCATCTAGTGACTGACCAACTATGTTTGGAACTAGAAATTATGCCACAAAAATAAAAGCAAATTAAAAAAAGAACAGAATGAGAATGGAAAATGAACAAAATATGGAAGAAATTCTTAATTTTTATAGCGTTGTTTGGTAAAATAGTTAGCTTATAAGCCAATTTTGGCTTGTTTGACCACCATTAACTGTTTGACTTGGTTAAATAACCAATATGAGTGTTTGATTAATTAGCTTTTTGTAACAACTTATTGCTCCAAAACAACTAAAATTCAAAAAGCTGCTCAAAGCAACTTTTTCTTTCAGATTTTTGAAAACGTTATTTTATATGTAATCAGCTATCAGCTAACAACTAATTTACCAAATATCTTTCTACAATCAGCTAATGCTATCAACTAGTCAAACTCATTAACTCAATAAGCTAACAGCTATTTACGAAACACCTCATGGTCTAATTTCCCTTCTTTAAATGTTCAAATATTGGTTTATAATGGTCTAATTCCCCTGTGCTCTAATATGAGATCAGAGAAGCCAAAAAATGTCTTCTACAACCGCCTAATACCAAAATCTAGTTGATCCCTTCAAAAAATTCATAACTTGCATCAGTTATTGCTGTGATAAACCTACGAACATACTATTACTCAGATAAATGATCAACCATGTGAGCAACAACTTCTAAGTCAGTAAAAGCATCAAATATATATATTCTTACTCATGAAAAGGATTAGAAAGACCAGGTGAGCCTTAAATATTCAAATTTACAGTTTAATTACTCCTAATTCCTGGCCACCACTAAAACATCAAAGAACTGCCATCAAGAACCAACAGAAAAAGGAAAGAAAAAAAAATCAAAGGTAATATAAGGAATCCCTGGGAAAAAAATGATGACAACTAATGCAGCAGCAATTGTTGGTAAGAAATTATCAACTGATTGCACAGGCTTAACTCACGGGTTCAGTAGGCAATATTTGGGGAAAGAAACCAAGGCTTGAAACTCAACCGTGGCAGTGTGAGGATTATGCCCAAAGTGGGCAGATCCCTTGTGCTCACCGGTTGGCCATGTCTGCTGGGTCACTGAATTACCATGATTTACATCCTCCCTCGGGCTGGGGTGTTGGGGTCCCTTGGGGTTGGAGATTCAACCTTTTGGGAATAAGAAATTATGAACTGGTAGCTCAACAATGGTTTTTCAAAACTCAAAAGAAACAGCATTAACTCCTGTATTTGTCAATTTATGCCCATCATAGGATACACAACAAAGGCAACAAGTATTAATTGCTTCAGCACCAATATGACCAATGCAAGTGATACAACACAATAACACGCCTACTCCCATAAATGCATATATAAACCTGCGAAAATAAATTCAAAGAAATAAATATCAAAGCAGACAACATAAGTCTAAAGCTAATTATGCAAAATAGCCAGCAAAGAATTACCAAGGAGCAGGGAGCGAATTGAAATTGAAGTTGAGGTCACCAGCTAGACCTGAAAAGGAGAAACCAAGTGTTGTTATCTCATCAGAAACACCAACTAGATTCACCAATTGGGCGGCCGAAAATTGCGGCGACGGAGCTGCCGGAGGAGCCGCTCGGCGGCGCTGCCACTGGTTGAGCATGTAAAAAGAGTATACGGTGATGGATACTCCAGCGAAAGCCTGGAGAAAATTCAAAAATTTCAGAATGGATGCCAGGAAAGTCTGGCACCACGGCTTTCGCATTTTGTATAGAATTATCTTTTCTTTATCTTCTTCAACTGCAACTCAGGAACCCTAACCGCCTGCTACAGATTTATGTATTCATTATCACCAGTTCTGCTAACCCTTGACTCCTTGAGAGTTGAGAGTTGAGAGTCAACTCCTAAAACCTTGATTTTACATAATATTAAAAGACTATTACTCAATGAGCGGTGAGCCCATCATGGTGAACAGTATAGAGTCTTACTTCTACGGTTCTACCTTAATCATAGAAAAGCCATTTTTACCTTCCATTGAAAAGCATTTTGGTAGAGTTCTATTGGCATCCACACTCACTGGATCAAATTACAGATTTACAGCATACCAAACTAATAATCTTTCTTGCTTCTCTCATATCAAATTACTTCAAGTTTTGTTTAGTTAAAGACATGTAAGATTATCCAAGTAATAGAATTATCTCTAAAAAGTCTAAAAAGTTGCAATAGGCGCTAGAAGCTAGTCGGTAGGACCTAAGCAGAATCTAGGCGGGCGCCAAAAAAATAGTACTTTAAATTTTGAGGAAGTTTTCAACCTTCAATCATATAACAAATCCAAACAAATGAAATAATGATAATTTATAAGTCATAACATCAAAATAATATTAAAAAATAAAAATACTCAAATATTTCAATCATCTAAAGATTCAAAGTATCAAACTAGTATACGGACGGTTGGACCAGACAACATTGGACGAAATCGACCGACACGATCGGTTAGGCCGATTTTGATCGATTTTGACTGATTTTGCCGCTTAAGCGTCCGGCCGATTTTTGAGCGCTTAATAGTGAAAGCGGAACGGTCTAGGGGTCCCTAGCGCCTAGGCCTATTTTTACAACAATGCTAAAAAGTTGATATTACAATAGTGCTAAAAAGTTGTACATTAAGTATATGAATTCTGTACCTGAAATATATTAGTAGTTCTGTAACACACAACATATTGTGTGTCTTAATTTACAAATTTATGTCTTGTATTATGAAATTATGTGCATATAAGATATATATTATGTTAGATTTGAGAATAAGTAAATATATAACATGTATATGTATTTTGGGTTGTGAGTTTTTGTGTCTCGTATTATAAGGGCATCCTCAATAATGAGGATTTTGGTGTGGTATTTTAGGTGCCAACTGGGAGAGAGTAGAAGAAAAAAAATTAAAAGAAATAAAAAAATAAAAAACTGACGCCTCCAGACAAAAAAAAAGTCAGGAAGTCCGATGCCTTGGCGCCATTCATTGCTCCATGCACGACTTTCCAGCCTTCTCTTTCACTTTCTCTCTGTTAATGGGCCCACAAAAACCTCCATATTGCAAGAGAAAAGTTTGGCCAAAGTCTTATCTTTCATTTGTGAAAATTTTCTCCATGAGATTTTGTTGTCCTAAAACTTGGTGAGGACCCCTCTAATGGGTGGTAAAATAAACTAAATTAAATTTGTGGTAAAATATAAGAAATGAGAAATTAAAGAATCTGTTAAAACTTAATCATTGAAAGGACGCGTTTTGATTTAGGGTCCACAATGGTATGTGGACTCTGGTTAACGATATAAATTGCCCGAGTGTGGACTGTGGACAATAAAGACGAAGAAATTGAGCCCGTCGTAATGGATTCAAGGATTCACGCTTTTCGAATACGACGTCGTTCGCTTTTTTCCGCACTGACAGTAGCTAGAATGCGAGCTCTTTTAATAGTAGAATGTGACCCATTTCGGCGTTTTGCAATTTGCTTAATAGTGAGAAGCGGTTCCAAGTTGCAGTTAATCCTTTTGAGAACGAACATCTATGGACTATGGCGAGCAGTGAAACCTCCAGCATGAGTGGAGTCCCGTCGTTAGTCAATCTGTGCTTGGGCGTTGTCAAACATGATCTCCTTCGCGGTACTCTTTTTCTTTTTGCTTCTTACATTTAATCAAGAAGATTGATTGATAGATAATATTTGGTAGATTAAATCGTTGCTACATGAGTTTCAGGTGATAATTCTAATCTCCTCTCCGGCGTTTATCATCTTTCATCGGACTTGTTTGATCGCCTGTTGCCGCTGTTACCTCCGTTGGCTTTGCAACTACTGCAAGAGCAACTGTTAGCTCGAATTTTCATCGATTAAACTCTCTCTCTCACACACACATATATATTAAAATGAATATTCAGATAGTATGTTTAGTAAATTATCTGTATAATGGAAAAACTGCGATTCCTGTTTCTCGATTAGGTGATTTTCAGAATAAGCAATGGCTATCTTCTTCCGCTATTGTCCTGTCCACTTGCTTCTATCTTATATTAATAGTTCAACGATGATAGCCTTGTGTTTCAGCATAACTGCAACATTAGCTTACTTAAATTTGTATGGCTGTGAATTCTTTGGAGTTTGGATGCGTTGTAATTGTCAATTTGTCATAGCATATCTAGCTTCAGGTGTTAGGAGATGGATGATACCTAACCGATTAATTTTCTTACTTCAGGCCACTTGATTTTTGGGACGATCACATATGTTCTCCTGATAGCTATGATTTTCCAAGAAAAAAGAGAAGGTCTGCTAAGAATTTGTGTACAATCATATTTGTTAAAACAAAATAAAATCTATAAGTAGAATTTAATATATGACAAATTGTATAGAATAGCTTTCATCATTTTATTGGTCATACAGACAGAGTATATGGTGATTTTTGTACATCCAGACTCTGGCAATTATGATGATATTTCATGTTCAAAAGTTATGCTTCTGCTGTTCTGCAGATGCGTGATTTTTGAAAGTGCTTGGGAGACTTTGTATAAAGCACGTTGGCCTGATTGTGGCCACAAGAATAGGAAATTGCAGTTGTGTTCATTCCACGACTTGATGAAAAGAAGGGAAACAAAGCATGATTTCATTCATGACTGGCAGCAGATGTACTGGGAGACACATCTACAAAAGTATGAGATGTGATTCATTAATACTTATAGATTTATGGATACCACTAATTCCATGCTACTTCATCTCTCATCCAATAGCTCCACTATGTTAATATGAAGTACAGTTGCCTGGATGCAGCTACAGAGATAGCTTCATTCCCATCTTTTGAAGGTCACATTGGTGAAACTAAAGTTCCTGGTATGAAAAAAAATTTCTTCCCACCTTTCTGAATTGAGATTTCTACAGAGCAGCCAGTGCTCAATTTCATGGATACTCTTTTCTGCAGATTCTATACTGGAGTATATTGGTTATAGGGAACAGTTTCCTGACTTATCCTATGACCCCTCAAAGTTCTCGTATCACTGCCAACAATTTGGATCATATGCCAGGTAATCTACATATTTTATTTTCTGTTACCTTCATTGTCATCATATCCTGAGAGTTAGTTTAAGTTATAGTTGTTCTTGTTGCAGTTGTCTGAGGCTGGCAGATGTGCTTTGTGTTGCAGAAACCTGTGTAAGTTACATTTCTTTTGGATAATTGTATTTTTGGCCCAACTAGAGAAAATGGAGCTTGGTATTGCTGCCAACTGCTCATACTTATTTGTGTTCATTTAATCTGTCTTCAAGTACACTAAATTATTCTTTGTTGCAGCATTTATTAAGAAATGCTAAGTTGGAGTGTTTGGATTTAAGGTGGATAAAATCTCAAAGTGAAGATGATGTAAGATTACTTCCTCTTCTTCATGTGCCTGTATGTCTTAGCTATGATTTGGGGGAGTAGTTTACTAATTACCAGGTGAAACTATCAATAAAGCACTTGTCTGAATCATTGTAGTATCTACAAGCTTTACAACAATTGTGTGAGTTGACATGTTATGCTGACAATGATTTGAAGTGAGTGAAGGCAAATTAAGAAAATTCTCCTCTCTGTTCTTTTCTTAATTTTTTTCTGGGTAAGGGGCATTAGAAGAGGTGACTGAAGAGATTTTATACTGCTCGTTTCATTTATTTGTTGCTTTCTGACTTACAGGTTGACGGCCTATGTAAACTTTTGAATCAGAATAGGGGGACATTGAATTCAATAAAATTTATGTTTTGCAAGTTTTCTACATCATCTCTGAATGCAATTTGTAGCTCGCTATGCTTTGATGGTCTTCAAACTCACCATGTGCAGCACTTCTCTATTAAGACATCAAGGTTTTTAGATAACAATGGATCTCTTCTGCCTAGTGGACTGCTGCTTTTTTTATCATCAGGGAGGTATATATGCATTTCTCACCTTTTGCACAATAACTGAGCTGATAAAACAACTTAGAAAAATCTATTGACTATCCATAAAGGACTTAAGGGACAATTGTGAAAGCAATGTACAGCAAAGAAAGTACCCTTTCTGGACCCTGTTTTACTGTTCAGTAGAAGCCTCTTCCCTTCTAATATATACTTGGATATTTCTAGATGACAAAAAATGCTTAGAAATATATAGATCAGAACTTAAAGATTGCCATTTCATTTAAATTTTAATTGATATTCCAGTTAGTTGACTCATACTAGCATAGTTGGAGCTTAGTTTGTGCTGTATGTTCTCCTTTATTCAATATAAATCAGCTTATTAGATGCATCATGGCTTGTTATTATAGTCAGGATCTAAAGGTATCCACTATAATTAAAATTTAAAGTTAGCTGTGATGCCAGTTACTCAAACTAATATAGTGGGAGCTCAGTTGTGCTGAATTTCCTCCTTTTTTCAGTATAAATCAGTCTATGAGTTACATTGTGGTTTGTTAGACTTGATCTTATAACCAAGTGAGTACAGCTTTACAAAAGTAGTTAGTATCATTGGCTTCTTTCCTTGATTCTTCATTTTTTTAAGAGTTGTAGAACTGTTATGGGAGGGTAAGATTGAGTGGCTTGTCATGGTGAGCTGTTCAAGTGTTCAATAATGGCTTTTAACTTCCAGACTTCAAAATTAAGAAGTGCTGGATTCTTTTTTGGATCTATTTGGATATGAATTTGATGCCAATAATATACTTCCTACATCAGAGACTCAGAGAGGGTTATTTTATTTATCCATTTTAATAGAGCAGTTTGGAATCCCAAGTTTATACCATGTTTCTACAGGTCCTTGTCTTCATTAAGCTTCTCTGATAACAACCTTAATAAAAACTGCGCAAGAATGATCTTGAACACACTCCTCAATGCCTCGTCTAGCATACATGTCCTAGATCTCTCAGAAAACAATGTGAGTCCTGACATTTGTACTGCTATAATCATACTACTTCACTCACCAATAAACAACATATAATTTGATTTCTTATACTGCAGATTAATGGGTGGCTTTCTCATATAAAATGGCAATCCACAAGTAACATGCACTTACCTTCTGGAATATCCAATTCATTGAAGTCAATACGTGTACTGAATTTGAGGTATATCTTAGAGGCACATTATAATTGGCCTATTTACAATGACGAAGCTCAGGGTCACATTAAAAAGTAGAGTGTTTAAAGTGGTTAACAAGCTCACTATAGCCAGACTCAAAAGGGTCAGTGTGCTTCATTGAGATTTAGTTTTTGCAGGTATAATAATATATGGACTCTTGATACTAGTCTTTTTGACTGGCTAGTGACTCAAAATACTGACTTTGGGAATAATCATTGATTTATGAAATTATCCTTCTTTGCCTGATCTATTATTTCATTATGAGATGTACACTCATTTCATTTCAGGAACAATATTCTACAAAAGGATGATGTGGATTGTCTCAGATATGCACAAATCTACATGCCTAATTTGGAGAGTCTTGATTTAAGTGACAATCCCATTGAGGATGATGGAGTCAGGTTATTTGAATTTTAATAAAATTTTACATGATTATCAATTTGCTAGATCTTAAAAGATTTTTATTCTTCAGGAGTTTGATTACTTATCTTGAGTATTCATGTAAGATTGTTGAGTTGAGATTGGAAAACTGTGAGCTTACCGGCCATGGGGTGAAGTGTCTTTTAGAATGTCTCTCTGTTTTGGAGAAACCACCAACCTCTCTTTCAATTGGTAGCAATTATCTTGGCAGGTTTGGGTAGCTTACTGCATTACCTTAATGTTCATGTTATATTTTATATTTGTTTGTCCTAAATTATACGGAGTATTCTTCTTTTTTATTTAAATAAAAATGTAATTTTGTGCAGTGAGATAGGAGCATCAATAGGGAAATTTATGAGCAAAGGAATTCTATCTCTTGACATTGATGACATTGGGCTTGGTTCTTCTGGCTTCTCAAAAGCTCAAGAAGAGATAGTGGAAGACTTGAAGATTATCTGCATCAACATAAGGTCAAAGTGGTTCAAATATTTTCCTAAAACTTTTAATTGTGGATTTTTTTTTTTTTCTGAAATTAATACTTCTGGAAGCCTTTTGCAGCAAGAATCGTGGTGGCATTGATACTGCAAAGTTTATATCAAAGCTTTTTTCATATGCTCCGGAGCTTGTAGCCATTAATGCTGAGTTTAACCTTATGCCAGCTGAATCCTTGGCAATCATAGGGTCTGGCCTAGCTGCAAATGGTAATAGTGTTGAATGCCTTTTGTTTTCATTTATCTGATGATACTATTGCTAGAATTTGATTCAAGAGTGGTAGATTGCTAGTAAATGCACAATGGAATTTGGAAATGAGCATTTACACCATCTAACAAATATGGTCTCAAAAATCCTACACATTTCAGTTTAAGTATATTTAAATAAACTGTGTCAATTTTGTCTTTTTATATTTTTCATAGAGAAGTCAGCACTCATCCAGGATCTTCTACTGAAATTACTCCCAATAACATGGGGAACTGATGGCTTCTTCTTTCCATTGATTAGGGAAACTAGAGCTCTTGGACTTGAGTGGAAACGCATCATGTGAAAACTCTGCTGATGCTTCTGTGCTGAGTAAATATGAAATCAATGGGAAATTAGTTATTATTGACTTGCCATCTTCAGCACCAAATGTACCTTACGACGATGATCCATAGTTGCTTAGATCTTGGGTTTGTGCTAAAATTCAAGGTTGGTGGACAGATCATAAGGGAATACAAAAACTCTTGCAACAACAAACGTTTTCCTCAAAAACACATCTTTAATTGTGTTCACCGCACTGCTTCAATTACCTTTTGTATGCTCTTAGTTCACTTTATAAATTGACTCTGTCCAAAAACAGGCCTTGTTTTCTGAATTTTCAAATGAGCATATATAGTCCTATATTTCCAGCTAACTTTGAAACTTGTTGTACCTAGGTAGAAAGTTAAGCTTAGTTGAGTTATGTTACGTTATATATACAACACTCGCCAATGACCTTGTAGTTTAATGGCATGAAGTGGTTCTCCCAAAATGGGAGGTTATGGGTTTGAGTCCCAGTGGGAGCGGTATTGACTCTTTGTGTTTCAGTACTATATTGTAACAGAGTCGGTAACACTCAAAAAAATATGTATACAACACTCAATTTCCACTTGTTACAACAGTGTTTGTATCTATATTTGATGCTCAAGAAAGGCATTGTTAATTTATGCTTAGTGTTGCTTGAGCTTAACTCCATGGGAACTCCCCCCAATTTGCTTTTCCAACCTGTAAAGCCTTGCTGTTATTAGTAAGATATTGTATTGTATGTGTGGAACACTTGAACCCAAAATGATGAGTAGAAAGTGAAAGTGGACAACTTTATTGGCTTTTCTTTTTTCCTCCTCTCTCTCTCTCTCTCTCCAAAAGAAAGTTGGTGGCTTGGCTTTGTCACAGAGGGGTGGGTCTTTTTCTTGCTGGTGTTTATCTATCAAATTATATGTCCCCAGAAATCATAAACTTATTCTTGACTATCATGCGGCCCGGATGACCCATTGACAGACAAATCATGACTTGTTGGTAAAACCATTAATTAATGTTGTGGGTCGAACGTTTACATCATCTTTGTGTTACAATAACACTATGGTTTAATTATGAAAGAGTATAGATTGGGAAAGACAATGAATTAGGGTCTAAAACACCCTCAGCAGATATGATACTACTTGAAAGTCAAAATCTAATTTTAACTATTCTCAACAATAATTTACTTCTCAATCAGATTGTTCTTTTCATCTAAATTATTGTTACAAAATCTGTTTTAAACTACTTGACTAGGAAACAAAAGAATTACAGCGTGGTGTTTCAAATTAGGGCAGTGCATGACTGCATTCTGATAGGTTATCCTAACAGAATCTGTACTGATCTCCAACTAAAGATGTGAAAGAAAATTAATGATGATCTGAAGAAAATTGGGCAATTCCCAATTAGCCATTCACGAGAAACAAAATAAAGGGCTGATGGCCTGGCATGTAGTGACTCTCCCACATGAGAGGTTATGAGATTGAGTCTCAGTGGAGACAGTGTTGACTCTTTGTGCTTCAACAGGTTGAGAAAATATAGATGAACAATTACTACTATGTAATAGAGTCAGTAGCATTCAAAAAAGAAATAAAAATAAAGGGCTGATGAATATTTTGTCACATTTTGGACTAAAATAATAAATTAATAGATAAGAAGATAATTGAACCCAGCAACAACCGATCGAACCTCAAATCATATGGCACACTGTCCAGAAGCAATATTCCAAAATCAACTTAAGTATAAAGATAATGTTGTAGAATAAAATAAAAGTAAACTAATAAAATCAAAACCCACCGACAAGTCGATGTGACTGGGATGTTAAAGTTGGCTCTTCTCCTCTTCCTCCCTGTGGAGAGTGGTCACTCATGGGATCATCTTCGATTCATACTCATTCCATTATAACTCCCAAGTTTATATTTATTTTTTTGTTCTTTTGTTCATCCTTATGATTGTATGGAGTACAGTAATATGCAATTATAGAATCATACAAACTCTTGTATTTGTGATAAATTTTATGATAAATACTTTTTTATTTTTTTTTTTCATATAAGAATCCATATCCCTCCCAACCAGAATAAAATAATTTTGTTGAAAAAATTAATAAGCAATTTAAAATTACCCAATAAACATAACATTAAACTCTCTAACTATTTAAAATTAGTTTATTTAAACTCTCTAACTTTAAAATACATTATAAAGATCAAGAAAATAAAAACAAATCTCTACAATATAACGTAGATTTATAATTAAAAAATTATGATCGTTGCTAAAAAACAATATAATGGAATATTTTTTCAAGTTAATATTTACTAATCATTACCATTATTTTGAGCCAACTCATTACATGTGAAATAGCCGAACTAGGCACTAAACTAATAGAGAATTGATTAAATAGTCATAAAGGTCCTCCACTGATTAATTACTAAACCAACATATGAGTAGATGGATTCTTGACGAGTGGACAAACTAGTGCGAAGCTCTGAGCAATCGGTGAAGAGACTAACAGATAGCGAACCCTGTTTTTTTAGCCACGACAAAACCTCTTTGCAAGTCATGGACTCTACCATTAGTGGCGAGAAGCAGCCTGCTAGATGACCGTTGCATGTCGCCGTGAAGTCTCCTGAGAGAACAAAACAGCGCCATACATCGCCTCCCCAGTAGCTGGACGATATCTTGCATCGAAGAAGCAGCTCGGCTGGTAGTAGCATGGATGGTGGCGGGGGCTACAACAGGTGAAGCCTGCTGGACGTGAACCTGTCTCCATGCGAGTAAAGCAGAGCACACCAACACCTACGTCTTCTTCGGCAGTGGCAAACGAGCATTCCATACAACTGCATTTCTTGCCTTCCAAACATAATATAGAATCGCTACAATCATACCAATATAATCTTCAGACACAGTGTTCCTAACAGATATAAACCATGATGAGAAATCTAGACCATCAAAAGTGAAGAGTGGGATGGAAGACTCATGTCGTACTAGCTTTGAATAGTCACATAAAAGAAATGCATGCATAACACTTTCATGACTTAGACCACACATAGGGCATTTTGGGTCTACATCCGCCCTCTTTATAATCAGATTACCAGCTCATGAGAGGCCATAATACTACACCAACAGTAGCTCGGGCAACTTCCCACAACAGCATTAATAAAAGAGGTTCTTGGGAAATAACGAGCCTTATAAACTCTGGCTTCCAGGGAGTTAGGATTAGTTAAAAAGCGTCATGCCTGTTTTCCTAACATGGTTAAATTGAAAGCACGCAAATCTTTAAAATCCAAACCACCATACCTTTTAGGGACACACAAACGGTCCCAAGCTTTCCAATGGATTCTCCTTTCAGTGCCAAACCCCCCACCAATATCTATTCATTACTCTCTCAGTTGATAGACAAACTGACTCAGGAAGAAAAAAAAAAACTCATAGAAAAAGTGGGCATAGATTGAGCCACACTTTTCAGGAGAACCTCTTTACCTGCCTGAGACAATAACCTTTTATTCCACGAGCCAATCGGCTGCTTAATCTTATCTTCCACATACGAAAAAACAACCATCTTATTCCTTCCCACAAAGGATGGCAGACCCAAGTACTTCCCAAAATTGGGAGCACAAGACACGCCAAGCACCCCTGCAACCGCCTCCATGTCCACTGCTGATGTATTTTTACTGAAACAAACACTAGATTTGTTGAAATTGACCGCCTGACCTGACATCTCCTCATAAACAGTAAGGCACTGCTTGATAACACTCGCTTCCAAGGCATTAGATTTAAAGAATAAGAGACTGTCGTCTGCAAAAAATAAATGTGAAATCGGTGGGGCTCCCCGAGCCACCCTACACCCATGTATATAACCATCCAACTAGGCTTTCTGCAACAACAAAGAGAGTCCCTCAGCACAAATGATAAACAGATATGGGGAAAGAGGGTCATCTTGCCTAAGCCCACGAGTCGGGGTAACGTGGCCACTTGATACACCATTAACCTGAATATTATAAGAAACTTTAGTGACACAAAGCATTATTAGTTCCACCCATTTATCAGCAAAGCCCAAGGCTAGCAGCATACGCCGTATCCAGCTTTAGGGCCCCCCAACCAACTACCCCACACTGCTTCCTGTTAAGGTAATGACCCACCTCAGCTGCCACAATAATATTATCAGTGATAAACCTACCTGGTATGAACGCACTCTGGGAATCAGAAATTAGATCCCCAAGAAGTGGCTTCATCCTATTAGCTATCATCTTTGCCATTACCTTATAAACAACATTGCACAAAGCTATGGGTCGTAGATCTGCCACAGTCTCCGGGGTACTCTTCTTAGGGATGAGGACCACATTAGTATCATTGAGACCCACTGGGAAGGAACCAGAATCCAAACAATTTATCACAAAATCAGATACATCCCCCCTACCACATCCTAAAAATGCTGGTAGAATCTCAGATTCATTCCATCTGGCCCAAGTGCTCTATCAGGGAACATTGAAAAAACAACAGACTTAACCGTATCATACTCAAACGGACGAAAAAGAGCGTTATTCTGGTTAGGGGTGACTTTGGGGGTTACAGAATTAAAGAAGGGAACCTCACACTCAGAATTATTGGAACAGAAAATATCATTATACTAATTCAAGATAATAGACTTCATAGCATCCCCTTCTACCGAAACACCTGCATCATTCTTTAATCTAGAAAGTGCAATTTTCTTTTTACGAGCAGAGGCATACCTGTGAAAAAACTTTGTATTTGCATCAGCACCCCTGAGCTAATGTTTCTTAGCGCGTTCCCTCCAAAAAGCATCCTCCTGAGCCTCTAACTGTAACACCCCACTTTTTCTAAAACTTAACTAAAACTCTAATCCATAATTAACATTAACATAACTAAGCAGCGGATAAATAACTTAAATAAGATAACTAGTGGGAATGTCACCACCACAACCACCACTCCGTAGTGATTGCACAGGCTAAGGGTAGAACTAGAAAATAAATAAATAACTAACAATCCATCCAACTTAATTAAAGCATAAGGGGGATTAAACACACCCCGATGTCTAAATCATCAAAACACATCCAAGCATCATAAGTCTAAAATCCGGTAGATAAAATCATAAACAAGACATAAAGAGTTTAGACATCTCAAACTAAAAAACTAGTCTAACTCGATCACTTCTCATTGCTGGGCCCACCTGAAAGGTGTTTTACAAACAACACATAGACAAATAGGAAAACACCCGTTAGCACGAAGCTAAGTATAACCACACTCAACCATGTAAAGTACTATAGAATATAGGAATAAGGTTCAAATTGGCCACTGAACGTAACCTGAAAATGCAATTAGGCCACTGCACGAAAAAAAAAGTGC